TTCTGGAAGATAGCAGTCCAAAGTCCAGGTGGCAGCTGCTTCTTGCTGTATCCTCACACGGTCTTCCTCTGTGTGTGCATATCCCTGGTGATTCTCTTTATATCCTGAAACTTTACATCCTGAAAGAGCCAACCTCCAGCAGTCTCACTGAGGATTAAGTTTTTGATATTGTCCTGGCTTAGATCAAGAAAGTGCCTATAGACAGGACTTTCAGAAGGTGATTGGATTATGGGGGCCTGTAACTGACCAGTTGTACAAAGGTGGGCTCTGGTGGGAAGAGGCGGTCACTGGAGCATGACTTGGAAGTGTTTATCTTCCTTTCCGGAACCTGCCTGCACGTTCTGCTTCTGGATGCCATGAGGGACATTGTGGGATATTTCACAGCCTTCCTGACTGCTCTTAGATATCTGTTGTTCTCATTCATGAAAACCAGAAATGTCTCCAGACATTGCCAAATGTTCCCTGATGGAGAAGCATTGTGCCCTGGTTGAGACCCTGGAAGGCATGAAAGTTCACGCAGGTCAATGAAACTCACCCTGAAAGGAGATGTTCTCAGTGCTGGGCCGCCCTGACTCTCCACAGGAGAGACTGCCTGCACAGGAGGCCCGCTCAGAGGAAGGCAGAGCCAGCAGATGGGGGAAAGAGGCGGAGCTGATTGGGGTTCTTTTGCATCTTCTGAGCCAAATTGCATTTTGATTATGTTAGCCAATTAATTCCCTTTTGGGCTTAAGCCAGCTTGCTTTGGATTCCTGCCACAGGCATCCAGAAAGTCTCCTGAGTGACATGAGCCACTCCATAAATTTGATCTCATTCCACTGTCACAGCTTCTCACTCAGGTGGGTTTGCTTATCTGTACTTTGCAGGTTTAGAGATCATGCCAGCAGTCTCTTCTTGCATCTCTGCTCCCACTCACAGCACGAAGACGACTTTCAGAATGAGTCGCTCCCTGCCCAAGCCCTGAAGCTCTTGCTCATGAAGGACAAGTGCCAAAACTGTGCCCTGTCCTGTCATTGCTCACAGTTCGTGGTGCATAGATTTAAGTGGCTATGTGATTCATCCAGAATTCTGACCCAGGATCTGATTTCAAAGGTTGTGTGAGTTTTCTTATGGTTTCTTACGTATATTCTCTGCTTGCTCCACAGGGAAGAAGTACATCCAGTGATATGGAAGGGGGAGAGTTTTAGAGTAAAGAACAGAGGCCCAGTCCTCTCTGTGGAATGATCAAATGACCCAGCTCAGAAAGCGCAAATGATGAGGGTGCTAGTGTCCTTAGCAAAAAGTTGGGCCCTGACTCTCTATCCATTGGGATGAGCTCTTCATCTCCATGTCTCACTCAACTCTGACCACCCTCCACATGCTTGTTTCTGTACCTTCATATCACTGTGAACCAACTGGAACTCAGAAAGCTTGAGTAACCCATATGCAGCTGCTCAAGCTGTGAGCATCAGAGCCCAGATGTGAAGCTGAGCCTGTGTCCCTGGCTAATCATAGTCCCGGTTCTGTCTCATTCAGGAAGGAGATGCGGTTACTACAGCCATGCAAGCAGAGGACAGATGAGCCCAGAGACAGGCACGAGATATCACCAGAATTCTGGGTGGCTCGAACTCCCCCAGCAGGGTCTCTCAGAGGAGGAATTTGCAGCCCGGAGACCCAGGGAAGATGATGTGGCAGACACTGTGCCTGGATCCCTGTGCTTCCTCTACCTAGTTTCCTCCCAAGAGGCAGAGGAGTCTACCATGCTGGGAATCTCCCCACGGCTGCAGCTGCCAGTGACTGGCCCCACATGAACACTGAGAAGCCACTGCTAATTTCAGTCCTAGCCACATGTCTGAGCATCTTCTCATAGACCACACAGGCTGTTGTTGTAGCTTCCCCAGCCTTTCACCTTGAGGCCAGCTTCCTCTGCCTCCCTGACAACCCCTACCCCTGGCCAAGGACTAGGAGAAATGGAGAAGGAGTTTCACATGGTTCCTCATCAGAGGAAGGCTAGTGGCCTGAGATCAAATAGACCTGGGTCCGGATTTCTGTTCAACCTCACTTTGGGCAATAAGGCAAACTGTTCCGCCTTCCAGAGTCTCACATTCAGCATTTCTCAAAGACAACAACCTAAACAGAGTTTGAAGAAGTAAATGATTTATCATATGTCAAGCACTGGTATGGAGCAGAAGGTGCTCTTTTCCTCTCAGCAGTTTAATTTAAGCGTAAACGTCAAACCAACTCAGCTTTCCCTCCTGTAACAATGAAGAGAGGAACTGACAGCTGCTTGGGGCATAATAACCAGCAGCCTTTGATCTGATCTCTTGGCGGCCCCACAGCTTTGGCCCTCACTGGCTTGGTGGGAGAAATCTGCCATGGCTTAGAAATGTAAGATGTTTTCAAACATGTGTTTGCTTTTGCTTTCTCAATGTTTTTTTTTTTTTGGGGGGGGGGTGCCATGCTGTAGGAGCTGGTAATGCTACTTTAAACAAAAAATTTTTATTGTAAAGGGAGTAAAACAGAACAGTGAAGTGAATGAAACAGAGATAAGCCACAGGAAACCTTCAATCGTTACTATGTTGCACATTGTTGTCCTCTGAATAGCTGCTCAGACTACCAGCTTTACTCAGTCAAGCCATACAGTTCCAGCCTTTTGTTTCTCAGGGTGGGATGGGGATGGAGTGTGTCTTCTTCTCTCCCGGGCACACATGCTGGCTGGCACATAGGGGTGAGGTGTGGCTTACAGGTGGCGCTATAGCTTTCTTCTGGGTTCTCCCTGGTCTGTGTGCTCACATAGTTTCCTTCGTGGTTCTCCCTGGTCTGCGCACCAGCTGGCTCACCTGGTAATGGTGCTTTTAGCAGCCTCATTTTACACACAGGAACAATTCTGGATGAACCCTTAGACAGCAGTGTCTCCTATCACACAGCAGGTGTGGGGAAGCCCTGACTTGCTGGGCCACAGCAGTCCACCATTGTTCTTTTCCCTTAGTGGGTTCAGATGCCTCCTAAGAGCATCTGTGGTGCACAAGTGCCACGGCCATGTATGAGACAGGAAAATGGTACGATCTGCAGAGCCTGGGAAGGGCTGATTCTAACCAGGATAGGCAGGAGGACCATGAACTAGGTCTGGCACCTGCCAACCAGAGGCTTAGGAAGAGCACCTCAGTGCTCCTGGCCAATGGCATGAGTCTGGTGCCAGACAGCCACATCCTGTTGCCCAACCATTGTGGACTTTACAGAACCATGCCAGCAGGACCATAATAAGAAGTTGCTTGGTACCATGGCAAGATTATGGTGCCGAGACCATATCATGTGTGGATTTCAGTCTGAGCTCAGCCACACATGAGGTAGCATTTAGCACAGGCACCCTAAACTCTCTGACCCCCCTCCTCATGTACCAATTCCACAGTAAAGAAAATCAAGCAGAAGCATGGGTATGCCCACCTGGAACACTGGTGGACCTCAAAACATGGTTCCTTTCACTTCATTAGGCAACTATTGTACTTCCTCAGCCCTACATTTCCATTAGTTGCTGCTCTGGACATGTCCTGGGGGGCCAAGTGTCAGTGCCTCCCCTATCCTCCTCTCCCTGAGTACCACAGATCAGAACCCCACACAGATGCTTTCAAGGTAGCTCCTCATCCCAGCATTAGGAAAGCCATCCCTAAAAATTCCTTCTTCTAATTTGTTCTTTGCTGGGGCCATGAGGAGTCATGGGAAAGAATGAGTAGGAGGAGGCTTTTTAGCAGTGTTGCTGTGACCCCTAAGTCTGGAGCAATTTTCTAGAGACTGATGAATCTCTACTCAAGTTGATGCAATATGGGGTCTGCAGAGCAGTTACCACATATGGAGGTCAAGGTGACAGTGAGAATTATAAAGAATAATATCTTCCATTTATTGAGCTAATACTAATGACTTTCTTTCTCCATTCATTTTGTCTAGGACTTGTAACATTCCCTGTTGGTAGGAAATACCCTCCTTACTTTGTAGACAAGGAAACTGAAGTCCAAATAAATCAATGACTTACCCAAGGTCACCTAAATGGTTAATGAATTCATGGTTCATGATTCAAGTTCACAAAACTACTCTCCACACAAACCTCAGTAGTTCCCACAAAGCCAGCAGTGAGGATAGAGAGAAAAGACCATTTGCGGGAATTTATTATTAAACTAACCCATCCTAAGTGAAGGCTTCATGTCAAAAAATAAGTTAAGAGGGGCTGAGGATTTAGCTCAGCAGCATAAGTGCCTGCCTTCCAAGCAGGCAGTCATGAGTTCGATCCCTGGTACCAATAAAAAAAAAAAAAAAAAAAAAAAAAAAAGGAAAAAGACAAAAAATAAGTTAAGAATGAGGCTTACAAAGTAAAGTGGATCCAACTGGAGTAGCAAATTTCAACAGGAAGTTTTTAATATTCACTGCAAGCTTATTTGTAACCTGAATGATATGAAATAGTCTATCAAACAAGGGGTGGTTAAACAGATGATCAGGTAACCATTATAGAAGATGATGGAAGCAGCTGAGTTTCTGAGAAAGCAGATCTAGGTCTGCTTATGAGGAATGATCTCTCTGGCTGGACTGAGTGGTCTCTGCCCCCACACCCAGATCCCTTCCTGTTCTGTTGTGCGCCAGGGAGCTGGCCCTTCCTGATGGCATGCAAGTCTCCTGCTTTGGGCTTCCTTGTGGGTTTGGCTATGGGGTGACACCTGCAGGAGACTAGAGGGTACGAAGAGAGTGAGGTAAAGGTGTTTCTTCCCTGCTCCTCACCACTTGGGTTCTGTTATTCTGACACATTCCAGCCTCCACTTCTATCCCACAACTTCGTCTCCCACTCATCAGCCCATTTCCCATGGCCCCAGTTCTCCCTGGGATCTGGGACTCTTTTTCTTCTTGTTCCCCTTTGAGCACTGAAATCTCCACAGCTGAATTGTCTGAGTGGAGTTTTGTTAACTTCAGGGACCCTGCCCATGATACAGATATGTGATGATTAATAAGAAGGGAACCCCCAGAGATGGCCCCCAACTGACCTCCCAAGAATCTTTCCAATCATCTTCACCATCAGTGTCCCCACCAGTCCACCAATGGCAAATATGGACACAGTCACAGACCAGAGCAGGGTCAGAGTATCCGGGTCTATTGGATGTCCGTGCCTTCTTTCCCATGTTTCATTGTAAAAGGCCTTGATGTACTGGAAATAAACAACAAACTGTGTTATTTCCTTCTACCCATCATGATGTTCGAAGCAAACCAGTGTACAAAGCAGAGTAACTGTTACAAAGCACCTTCTTCATGTTCAGTTTTTTGTCAAATTCTGTCTGAGATTTATTCCATTGCACTCACCTAACAAATTTTAGAAATGGTCATTTCTTAAATCTTATTTTACAGATAGGGAAACTGAGACTCAAAGAAACAGTGAGTTGTTCTACCTCTCCGTCCATGGCTAGACATCAAGCTAACAGCAAACACTTAGAACAAAGTCTTTGTGCCCTCAGGGGCTGCCCGGCATCAGAAGCTCCTTCCTATTGGAAGGACTTTCCTGTCTTGTGCGCTCTAGTGAGAAACCAAGACCACTTGTCACAGTGGAGGTTGAAAATCCTATACACACAGTGTGATCAAAACATACAGTAAATGATTACATCTAAAAAATTATTATAGTGGAAGACACACTGCCATGAATCCCCCCAAATTCTCCCCCTTACTTTGAACATCCTTATCCCATCATTGTTGCCACTTTCTGAAGCACTCTGGATCCGGTGTGATCAAACAGGGTGAGATCAACCTACGCTTATCAACGAAGGGACTGAGAGGGACATCACCTGCCAATGACCATGTGACTCATATGTGACAGAAGGGTCTTTGTGCTGCCGCAGCTGGCTTCCAGGCCCAGTCATAGCCGCTCCACTATCTGAGCTCCAAGGTTCACAATGAAGGGGCTGAGGTTAGCATCTGAGTGCAGATGATTAAAAGTAAATGCCAGCCGAGCCCTTGGAAGGTCTGGGCAGATCAGACAACAGCAACAACCCCCAGATCAAAGTCCACCGGGAAGAATGGTGATAACCACCAAAGCAAGGGGCCAGAGGGACCATGGGAAGGCACAGGGTATAGTATGGGCCAAAGCAAAGATATACAGGGCTAAGGCTACTCAGAGAAGCCAGTGTACATGATGAGTGCCCAGGAATTCACAGGCGCACCCCCTGCCACCAGACAGCCCCAGTCTTGCACTTGTGGCTGTGACCTTGATCCCTACAGCAGTACTGCATTAATTCAAGCAAACATGTCCTGCAGGAAGGCCAGATAATAATTCTCAGTCTAGACAGCCTCTCACACCTACAGCACTGGCCAGTTTCCTGGAATTCATGTAGGGAAAGCAAAAGATGCTAAGTGGAAGGAAATAATCTCTTTTCCTCTGTATCATGCTGCTCTCCAAGGCCTTGTTAGAGAAGGGAGGGCTTCCAGATCACTCACTGTCAAGTGTTGCTTGGGAGTCTGTCAAGATTTCTTTAATTTTTGGAAATAGTACAGCAGAACTCTCCAAGGAAATTTTGAAAAACCTGGAATATTTGCAGCATGGTCTGTTCTCCCTACGGAAATGCGTCTCTCAAAAGCTCCCTGAAGCTATTTTCCAAGTGCTGCCTTTGGTGATGAATGTCCCCTTTGCAGCTGTGAAATTAGCAGGACCTACTGACAGTCCCCTGTGATTGCTGAAGTCAGGCGATGAATTTACTGCATGAACATTCACTGAGTTTGATCTTCCAGAATCTAATATCTGCACCATCATGTGCTGTGGTGCATTTTACTGACCAGGTGCTTACACACATTTGTGTTTTACATGGAGTCTATGGGGGTATCAGCAAACCCCATAGAAAAATATAATAACACAAGGATTTTACTTGTCCTATTTACCACATGCCATGTGCTAATCTATGACATGGACAGCTATAAGCTCATCTCCTTCCCTCCACCACCCCATGACAGAGTTCTCCATGGGGCAGCTGAGGGAGACCCATGAGGGGAATGGGAAAACATGAGGCTTTCCCACACTCACACCATTGGTATGAGTGGACCCCAGAACTTGGCCACTGTTTAATTCTAACTCAATGTAAAGAGCACAATATCTCCCTTGTATCATGGCATTCCTATCTTTGAACCAGCAAGCGATGGACTGAATCCTTTGAAACCATGAACCAAACAACCCCTGCTTCCTTAGGATCTGGTGTTGGGTATCACATCCCAGCAATGGGAAAGCCAGTGCAGTAGCAGAGATCTTCATGTAAGAAACACATCCCATAGACACGTGAAATCTTACGGGACCACAGCTCTGGAAGGACCTCACACCTGGAAGGAGCCCTGTGAGTCTTTCTTATCCAAGGGATGTGATTGGAAGAGATGTATCTCCTCCACCCATGAAGGGAGTAAGAGTCTGAATGCCCTATCCATGCTCATTCTCTTTCCTTCTGGGATGACCATTCCCTGAGAAACCAGCAGGGGATATCAAATGCCTGGCCAAAGCTATTCCAGTGCTTTGGTCCTTGAATGGCTTCATGGAATAGAGCCCCTTGTCACCTACTTTAGAGGGCAACATGCCCAGGCAAAGAACTCTCATTGTGTTCAGTCCCTGGGAATCAGGACTTACTTGTTATAGCAGCTGGTTTACCCAAACACAAAGCCCGTACCTTGGTGAGTGTACTAGGACACAGGGCTTGGAGGGAAGGCCCAGGCCAGGTCATAAAGGCTGGAAAATTTGGAGACAGAGCCTTTGCCAAGCTTTCCTTGTATGCTTTGGGGGGACCTGGCAGAATTGAGGTGAAGAAAATATTCTGTCATAAATAATCAGGTTCACTGTGGTAGCTAATCCCAGGCCCATGTTGGGCGGAGCCCTTCCCTGAACCTGTACTTCCCATTTCACTGGACCCATACCCAGGAGGCACATGCTCGTCTATCTTTCTATCTCTATGTATTGCTTCCTTACCCCTGTGGCCCCAGGTTTCCACCCTGCCATCTATGTACAAGTTCTGGCTCCCCTGCCTTCAAGGAGCTCAGACTCTAGTGGAGAGAACAGCGGAGTAAGTGAACCAGGATGAGATGGGTGAGAAGCACACGATGGCAGGAGGCTGAACCAGGCTACAGGAACCAGGCTGCAGTTACGGGGAGCAGGCAGTGCTGCGGACTGGGCTGGATGACACCAGATGGAGGAAGAAGAATTTTCAAAGTGCAGAAGCCAGCGGCTGTGTGATGACATAGAGGGCTGTAAACAGCCTTGTGGGGCGAAGCAGCCCAACCCTGGGAGGTGGGGTGTGAGAAGGAGGTGGGGTTGGTGCGTTCCTTGCTTGGCCTGAAGCCTATGGAGCCTACACTTCTAAGTATCCCTGGGAAGCAGCTAGGGTTGGCAGTAGAGCGGGTGAGCATGGGATGGACACCTCTATTTGTGGTTCGGAATGTCCATCACACATGGAGCCTGAAGCTATTGGAGATTTTAGTGTGAATGAGGTGGGGCCACCGGAGGGTCCTCCATTTGGTCTGAGATGAGTCTGATGGGCTATTTTGAGTTCACCCATGAGCTTTTATATTATGACTAGAGCTACCTAGAGTCCAAGCTGCCAGGAAAGAAAGAAGAGGCTGCATGATTGAAGGACAGGATATAGACATGTGTGTACCACTGAGGAACTCTGTGACATTTGGTGACCTTCAGCAAAAGGCTCTGCCCCTCTGGGCAGTGTCCTCAATAGTTAGGGAACCTTGGCACCTGCTTGATTTCTCTCCTAGCGGGTGACCAAGTGTGTTCCTTAACCTCTCAGAGCTCCAGGGCGTCATCTGTGATATCACTGCCATCCTTGTGGAGTTACTGTGAAGATTTATGTGGGGATGGGAGTTAGGCCATAAACACATGCAATAAAAACCAGAAATTGCAATGGGTGTTGGTGGTATTAATATCATTATCTGTACATTTGCAAAATATATCACCTAGCTAGACACGATTATTTCTCAGGACCAAGAATCTATTAATTTACCATTATCTCCCAGCCCAAGAACTCAAGGGCCACACTTTTGACAATAAATTGAACTCTGCAATTCTCATCCTCCTAATGGTAACAGCAAATTGCCAGCCACTGGGGAGCAAATTACCTTGTAGCTTGATTTATGATATTAATGTTCTTTATTGCTTTGCAAAAGGCATGTCATACATTCATCTAAAATTATTCTCAGGGGCTCCATAAAAATGCTCATAAATAGAATCCTTGAGAGTGGGCCAGAGTCCACACACAGGTCACAGAACAGAGTCATGCCCACAGTGCCCCAGGGGAGGGTAAAGACATTTGGCATTGGAACACATACTGGAACAGTGGAGAAGTGGTACTGAAGTCCTGGCAGAAACGCTGCCACCAAACCAGACTTTCCGACATAGGCCACAAAAGCCCCGCACTGTAACCTAATGTCACCTGACTCGCATCCCCAGCAGATGAGAGTTCACACAGCAGGCCTGAGACGCTCTCCTTGGACAGACCCCTTTGCAAGGCTAGTGGTGTGCTGGTGTCAGGAATCTGTATTTGGGATTTGCTGCTGCCAGCCCATCTCTGGGGAGAAGGACTCCGTGGGTGCCTGCTCTGTGGTGTGGACAGAGTGGCCAAGGCTGCCCTAGGTCGGGAATTTCCTACATGGGGAAACAGGGGCCCATGGGAGTGGCCCCTGTTGGACTCTGAGTGTCTGCTAAGTTTCCCTGGTGGACAGATTTCACACAAACTATCACCACCTGTTGCTAATGGAGGACAGCAAGCATCCTGTGCAGCTCTGTTGGAGAGGACTCCAGGTGGCTGGAACTTGGTCCCCCCAAGTTTTACCCTTTGCACCTTCTATCTGTGGACTCTGCCTGTGTCCCTTCACTGTGATAAATCAAGGCCACGGGGATCACCATGTGCCCATGCAGAGCCCTCCTAAAGAAGCATCTACCTGAGGGTGGCTGGCGGACCCTGACGCTTCAGCTCTTCTGTGATTTAATCACTCATCGGCAGGTTGGTGTCTTTTCCTGCCCACCGTGTGCTTCCAGGGAGGACCATGACTGGCTGGCTGTGTAAGTGGAAAGAGACCTCTGTATTTCCAGGGTCCTGAGAGTATTCTGTCCACACGGCTGCTCCCCATATGGGTGTGGCTACATGGGGGAGGACACATCAATTGCTAACAATCATCAGGTGA